AAGGAGATTAATTTAATCATCAGAAACTCAAAATAATACGTTATCTCAACTAAATAAATGATTTAAGTTGATTTGACAAAAGAAACAATGTTGTGATAACAAATCTTGAAAATATTTTTTTATGTTTTTTTCTTTTCTGAGAGGTTTTAGTTCCTCTCAGAAAAGAAAAAAACTTTTTAATATTATTTAAAAAACTGTAAGTTTTAAACATTCAGAGAACAATCAGAAATAACATCACTGATTTGTAATCACAACATTTTTCTTTTGTCAAATCAACTTAAATAATTTATTTAGTTGAGATAACTTACTATTTTGAGTTTCTGATGATTAAATCATTCTCCTTCATTGTATTAACTCACTTTTTCCAGTTCAATCAAGTTAAAATTTTAAGGCAACCAGGTTACTTACTTTTTTAAGCTAAACCAACAATATATTTTTTTACAGTATACGTTTATGTGCATCTGTGTGCTAAAAATGGAAATATTTTTCCTTTGCGTTGTTCGCATAAATACGACAGCGTTGTCAAAACGCATCTGCGAAAACCATTACAAATGCTGTATTATCCTGCAAGGCCAGTAGTTGGCGATGTCCCTTAGTAAAGAAACACTAATCGCCTATAAACTCAACAAATTACGTCACCGTTTTCACAAATTCGTTTTTGTGTAGTTTACACAGAGATGATAATGGAATCGTTTTCAAAAAGTTTGCATTTGCAATATCCCTAAAAAAATGCATGCAAAACAACATCAAATTCAGTATATAAACTAAGTCACTCAGTGTGTGTAAAAGTAAATAGGTCGAGTTGAAAAAATCACCCACACGAACACATACAAAATGTCGGTATTAGAGGGTTTCCTCCCTTCTCCATAGGGCATGACAATAGCCCTCAGGACAGGGCAGAGAGGCTCTGATAAGAATACAATAGGTCTGATGATTCCAGATAAGAATTTCTGGCCTTTCGGAGAGTCATTAGGCTATCTGTATGTGTTTATGTGTATGTATGCCTGCTATGATTTAAACAAATGAATTTAGAGGAAAAGATTCAGATAGAGCATGCTGCAGTTGAAAGCTTCTTTGCTTGTCAGACGGTTGTGTGAAGTAGAGAAAAGAAACCCACAAGAAATTTGAGGTCTATTTGCAGATCTACTATGCAGCTCGATGGTGCCTTGAAGTCTATACGTCGGCCACTAAAGTTCCAGCCTCAAGGCGACAGAAAACAAATCACTGCTTGGCCAAACCCATTCATAGAGGTGAGCAGAGAGAGGGGGAGAAAGAAGAGGTGGTATTAAGGAAAGAGGAGACACCTGTTTGAATGAATGGCCCACTGCTCATGCTCTTTTTCTCTCTCTTTCATCCCAGCTTGTTTGGTCATGGAGACAGCTGAAAAGACTATTATGGGAGAACAGAGTCGGTGACAGACCCTTATTAATTAAAAGCCACTGACTGAGCAAAGACTAGTCGATTCACTCCTGCATTGAATTATCCAGATGAGAAGAAGTGCAAAAACAGTACGAATGAGACAGCACTTAAATCAACCAGTCAAAGTATTTGTAAGCTTATTTGTGTATATTTGATGTTCATATTAGGATGAAAAGAAAATGTGAGATGTTTTATTAATGTTCGTTTCGGTTTTAAATGAATATTCTGGGTGCAATATACAATCTAAGCTCACACTCTAAAAATTGCTGGGTTGTTTTAACCCAAATTTGGGTCAAATATGGGCAAACCTACATTTTTTAAATTTAATTTTTAACCCAACATTTGGGTTTGTGCTGGGTTTAAAACAACCCAGCATTTTTTTAGAGTGCAATCAACAGCATTTGTCGCATATTGAAAATAGACTTGTGTATTATGGGATAGCGGCTTGTAGCGGGATGTAGCTTTAGGGATGTGTTTTATAGCTTGTAGCTATTCAAAAAGTTATTATTTTAACATCTACACTCTAAAAAAATGTTGGGTTGTTTAACCCAATTTTGGCTCAAATATGGATAAACCCAAATGTTGGGTTAAAAATGTATTGTAAAAATTTAACCCAACTGCATGTTTGACCCAAAGTTGGGTTAAACAACCCAGCATTTTTTTTACAGTGTACTCTGGGTTGTTTCAACCCATGGTTGGGTCAATTATGGACAAACCCAACTGTTTGGGTTGGGAGTTGGGTTAATTGACCCAAGAATTGGCCCAAATCACTGTAACCCTTTTTTTTCTTCTTTTTTTTTTAAATAAAAGGAGGGACCAGTGAAAAGCTTCTGTCATTCTTAATGACTTTTTTTCTGCAGAAAAGAAAGGAAGATATATTTAATTGGACTATTTTTGTCCCTAAAAGCCAATGCGGTCCAAAATATTCAAGCTCCAAAAAAAGTTCCATCACCAAATGTCATGAGATTTGAAATTTGTGTCATCATATTTGGTATGCTCGCTTTTACATAATAAAGGATTTCATTTTTATCTGTTCATCTGTTTATCAAGTGGTTGTGTTGCTTTAGTTTAGAAGACCATCTTGTTTATATGGATTATTTCACACTTTACCTTTATGTCTTGGAGCTTCAAAGTTCTGGACCCTATTGTCTCTCCTAATATGGACAAGAAACACTAAAACATTATTCAAAGTATCTTCTTTTATTCTGCCGAAGAAAGAAAGCCATGCAAAGTTGGAGTGCAAGATGGGGGAGTAAATGATGACAATATTCATTTTTGGTCAAACTCTGTCTGGGAAGAAATCTGACTCTGACTTAGTGAATGGGACTGAATTGTGTTGCGGGTCTTTGAGAGGATTAGATGGGCTGATCTGAGGACTGATATGGAACCCTCCTGTCTGTCATTTGCATCCTTTGTGGAAGGACATTCACTGCTCTGTGTGTATATGTGTGGATGGGGGTGGGGGGGCTGTATGTTAAATGACCAGAACATTTACTGTCAAACGTAACGCATTTTAAAGGCCACACACAAACAACACTGCTACATTTTGTATGTTGGGGTGGGGTAATTTCCTTAACAGATATTTAACTCATTTTTGCCATACAGTTGGTCTAGTAGATCTCATAAAGTGTCTCCTCCCATCTTTCCAGACAAGTGTTAGGCTTACTGATCATGAACCACTCCTATCTGAGTGATATAGAAAGGGCCGCTCCCTTGAAAAAATCAGAACCTTTTAACATTGTGACTGGAAACAAAACTTTGGTTAATTTTGGTCACATTTACATTCACATTTATTCATTAAACAGACACTCTTATCCAAACCGACAAACATAAGAGTACAATGACAGCAAAATTTAAATAAAATTTAAGTATGCTATACCTGTCAAAAAGTTTAATGTTTTTCAAAGAAGTCTCCAATGCTCACCAAGAGTGAACTTATTTGATTAAAAATGCAGTAAAGGATGTACATTTCAATTTAAACGAGCTGTTTTCTATTTTAATATATTATAACATGTCATTTATTCCTGTGATAGGAAAGCTGATTTTTTTAGCAGCCATTTCTCCAGTCTTCACCATCACATGATCCTGCAGTGTATCATGCATTTAATGAAATGCAAGGTTTATTATAGCTAATGATGTCTGGCAATTGCTAAAATACAATGGAGCTATTTAGTATTAAATCTGCTTACGGCTGGATCAGTGGCTCTAATTGACTGATAAGATTCACCTGGTTCATTCTGTCTCACAATAGAAAGGGATTACAATGCAATATACAATGATCTTACTTTAACCTTTGTCAGTAACGAGTGTAATTACATTACCATGGTAACACCAGTCCAGTCAGTGTTGAGAGGAGACTGAGAGAGGACCAAATCCTCCATTGTCCCCAACAGCTAAGCTATGAAAATCTTGAATGATAAGAATGGTCAAGAGTAAACACACAAACACATTTAGAGGTTTTCGCTCCCAATGTGTCTAGGTCTGACATATATGTTCAGAGAACGACAGATGTTTGTCTGCCGAGTTGTTTGTGCTTTTTACAAAATGATTCCACAGAATCACTGTGTGTGTGTGTGTCTACCTGCCTTTTGGTGTCTCAAGTACAGCCACATCGCTGAAGAAGAGGGTCTTGAGGTAAAAGATTTGTGGTTGAAGCTGGGGTGTGGTGTTGGCATATGCCCGTCTGTGTATGAGCATGTGTGTACATCAAAGGTATATCTGGGTGTGGATGGGGCTGCATATGTGTGAGAAGATTGTGTAGAAAATGCAAGGGTAGCCTATGTGACTAAAGATCACGGGTTTTTTTTTTTTTTTCACTCTGATAGCGTGTGACTGAGCACTGAGTGTACCAGGCAAAACCGCAGCTTCCTGGTATTTTGACACTTATTTGTGTCTTATATCTCAGCACTACAGTTTGAGTTATTTTGGAATCGTGTTATGCAACAACTCTTAATGTTTTTAGCACACAACACACACAATGGGGTAGGCTATCTCAGTTACAATCTATGTTGAAACTTTGAAAATGAATTGCATACCAAAGATTTATTCTCTTTTATTCTCTATTCTCTCATTGCCTGTTATACAAACTCAGTTGTATGTACCCACTAGGTTACTGATATACTGGGACAAAAATTGGAGATGAACGCCATCACTGTTTTCTCTGTGTAAGTGGCGCCATCATTTGGGCATAAATTGCTACTACCAAATTCTGTCACTTGCTTAAGAATATAATATAATATAATATAATATAATATAATATAATATAATATAATATAATATAATATAATATAATATAATATAATATAATATAATCGTAGGTGTTTTTTTTCCCGCATATTATTGTAGCCTATGATAAATGTAGCCTATCCATTTTGCTGAAAATTAGTTTTTTAAAGCAATTTACCAAAGAAGTACTAGCTACTATAATCACAAAAGGATTCCTAATAGCCTACTGTATATTGTATTGTAGGCCTGCTATGTACATTATATTTTACTTGGCCAATAAACTCAAAATATATTCATTTTATATATAAAACTGTATGAATGTTTTCTCCAATCCTGCGCATGCGCTCTCGTAGTCTCTCAGCTCACTGGAATGACGTGCGTGAACGTTCCCATCGCTGCTCACGGCAACGTCAGCGGGTAAGGAAATGCGATGCCCTAATAACAATTCCTTAAATTATATACACTCATATATGACGAATGCAATCTGTAAAATATCACGACCCGTACAGTGTCAGTTTCGAACAGCCGACTGAACTAGCCATGTCACATTCGTGCTAAAGTTATTATAGGGAAACGCAGCGCGAGCTCGATGACTCCTTATCTTGTTTGGGATCCGGTAACTCTGCCTTTTTAGAATATGTATACGTTTATCTTCGCAAATAATCCTGTATACACCACGGGCACATTGTTAAATATACGTATTAAAACAAAGTAGCAGTTGTGTACAACCAAAGACGTGAAAAAAACAAGCAAATGTGATAAAAGCGAGCAGGCGGCTTGCAACACTGTAACCAGACCCATGATGAGTTGGATGGGGAGGAAGGTGCGATCAGAACAGCGTCAGCTCATAAACACTATACATTTCACATAACTACATATTGTTTTGTGGAGGGGTAAAATACTGCTTATGTTGTATTTATTTACAAAATTGTCAAAACAAACATTGGCATTGCTTAAACTAGTCATGTGTTGAATGAAGGTCAGGAGAGTTGTTTTGTTCTTATTATAGTTTATTTTGACTTGCATGAAACGTTTGCTTTTATTTGGAAGATATATGTGTTATTGAATTTGGGAAAATTATGACCGTGAGAGACATGGCATGTCATTGTGATAGCTAACAGCTGTTACCTCGAAAGAACAAAGACAGCTCTTTGCAAAAGGCAAATTTCTGAATTTCCTCAACGCTCAGATTTATTCATTCAAATAGTCTGGTGAGTCTTAATTTAGAACATTGAAACGACTTAATAATTTGTTATTTTAATTGTTTCATCATGTTTGATTTTCTCCATTAATCTCATTGTTAGTCTGCTGCATGCCACCGCTGATTTCTGAAAAGACACTAAAAATGTATTTTGCAACATACTGCATTTGCATACATGATGTTTGGCTCTGGTACGATTTTGTAATGTTTTTGTGTCTTATGCTCACCAAAGCTGAATTTATTTGCTCAAAAAGCAAATAAACAGTAAAACCAGAGATATTGTTTTTTTTACAGTTTAAAAAAGTTGTTTTCTATTTTAAAATGTATTTTATTCCTGTGATCCAAGATGATTTATCAGCATCATTAATCCACTCTTCAATGTTACATGATCCTTCAGAAATCATTAAATTATGCTGATTTGGTGCTCAAGAAACATTTCTTATTATCATCCATGTTTAAAACAGTCGTGGTGCTTTATAGTTTTGTGGAAATCGTCATAAGTTTTTTCAAGATTCTTTGACAAAAAAGAGCATCATTAATTTGTACCATTATAAATATATTTCTGACTCTTCAGTAAATCACTTTAATGTGTTCTTGCTGAATAAACATATGAATTTCTTTTAAAAAATCTTACCGACCCAAAACTTAAAGAGTAGTTTAGTTTGTGTGACTCAAAGCAGGATGATACAGTGTTTTTTTTATCCCATTTGCAGATCTAAGCCACGTTCATTAAGAAGATGGACAGCTATGGGTTTGTATCTTAATTTCATCCAATGTATGTTACCCCTCCTCTTCTTAGATTCTATATTTAAAGTCATATGTCTGCACGTTCTTTCAGGTTCTCCAGTGATATGTTCAGTGGCAGAGCAGTTCTGGGGGAGGACAGCTCGGTCATGGCCCGCATGCAGAAGAAGTTCTGGAAGACCAAACAGGTTCTGATCAAGGCCACCGGGAAGAAGGAAGACGAGCATGTGGTGGCATCTGACGCGGACCTTGATGCCAAATTAGAGGTATGAGCACCTTTTAAAATGTAGTAAAAATTACCTCACTAACTGACTTGGTCAGCAATAAGCGAAACTGTAGCGTCACTGGGCAGGGTTTTTCTTTCAATGACTGTATGACTCATGCTTAATTTTAACATTTGAAAGCAAATTATTTTTTTATTGTGTGCGAGCCTTACAAAGGCAGAGGAATCTAAGAGTATTTTATGATCTATTGTGTTGAACGCAGCACTAAGATCAAGTAAAACTACTGAGATACAGCCTTGGTCAGAAGCTAATCAAAGTAAGCCAAGTTTAAGTTGAGCAGACATAAATGGAAGATTTGAAATGGGTCTGTAATTTGCTAATTTATTTGGATCTAATTTTGGTTTCTTAATGAGAGGCTTAATAACTGCCATCTTTAACGTTTTTTCGGGACATGACCTAGAGATAATGATAAAGATTGGTTTAGATGCAATGATAAGTTTATTTAGCTCTTCCTGTCCTATAGTTGTGAAGCACTGCAATTGTTCATGAGGGGTGATAAAACCCAGAGTGATACCCATTTATTTACTTAATTGTATCAGAGAAAGTGATTTTTCTTTTTTGTTACTTCTGGCAATTTCTTACTGCTTAAAAAGCTCACTATAGTGTTTCATTCTTTAAAGGAGCTGTATGTAAGAAATTTATTTCAAATAATTTATTTCAATGGCCCTGTTATGTCACTAGACATTAAGAAATAGCCAGCAGCCAGCAGCCATATCACCCTGTAGCCCAAGACTGGTTGCCCACTGAAGCTAAGCAGGGCTGAGCCTGGTTAGTACCTGGATGGGAGACCTTCTGAGAAAGCCAGGTTGCTGCTGGAAGAGGTGTTAGTGAGGCTAGCAGGGGGTGCTCACCCTGTGGTCTGTGTGGGTCCTAATGCCCCAGTATAGTAATGGGGATACTATACTGTCAAAGAGCACCGTCCTTCGGTTGAGACGTTAAACCGAGGTCCTGACTCTCTGTGGTCATTAAAAATCCTTCGAAAGAGTAGGGGTGTAACCCCGGCATCCTGGCCAAATTTGCCCAGTGGCCTCTGTCCATCATGGCCTCCTAATCATCCCCATATATACCAATTGGCTTCATCACTGTCTCCTCTCCACCAGTAAGCTGGTGTGTGGTGGGCGTTCTGGCGCAATATGGCAGCCGTCGCATCATCCAGGTGGATGCTGCACATTGGTGGTGGTTGAGGAGATTCCCCCCTCTATGTGAAGAGCTTTGAGTGTCCAGAAAGGCGCTATATAAATGTGATTATTAAATAATATTCATTTCAAATACTCATATCACTGACAACAGTAGTCCGGCCTGGATATTGTCATTTAAAAAGTGAAGTTACAGTCCTCAACTGATGTTGATGTTGTCATGTTGTGTTTTTTTTCTGATCCTCCACCGATCTACCAATCACGAAGTCAGTAGTGTTGCAATATCTGAGTTGCCAGTTCTGCTCTAGTTACCACAGCTGCAGATACAAGCGTGTCGGATAAAAATGTTTGATCCTGCAGCCTATCTGGCAACCTCAAGTCAGGGGGGAGGGGGAGGGGATACACCGCTCTACAGTAAAGGCCTGTTCACACCGGGACGAATTTCGCGTGCGATATTCGCCGACGTTTAACGCCTCGTGACTAAACAAAGGGCGCCAATGTGACTGTTCACACCGACACGTAAAACGCCACGCGTAAAAGCATCATTTTTAAAAAAACGCCTCGGGTTTGTTTTTTTTGTTTGACGCGCCGCGTCAAAAACTATCCGACCAATGAAATTGGCGCTTTTGCTCATGTGTTTGGAGCTTCTGAAGTTACAATAAAACACAACATGGGGGCGCTCAAACAGAAAACAGTCTTGCCGAGCACACATATGCAACGGTGAAGAAGATACGCGCGTCGCCGTCTACACAGCCAGAAAGAAATAAGACGAAGAAGATGAAAGGCAAGATGAATGTAGAGCTGCTGTTCTCGTTGGTGCTAGAACATAAAGAACTATGACAAACGCGACAAGGAATACACACATCTTGATAAAAGATAACTGTTATGGAGTGGTATTGCAGAGCAAATTGGCGCCATCTAATGTCAGGGAATGAATTTGCATGTTCACTCGGCTCATCGTCAGCGAAAAACGCTTGGGTGTGAACACAACAAACGCGTTGAAAAACGCTGACTAATAACGCAGGGTGATATTCGTCCAGATGTGTACGGGCCTTAATTTGAAAGTGATTGCAGTACCGGTTTTGGCCACAATCTTACATACAGGTCCTTTAAAGGAGCATTGCGGAAGTTCTGAAATTTCTTATCGTTACTGACACCAGTGGCCGTTAGAAAAACTGCAGCCGGTCTCATGCTCTTTCTCGGTGCATGAGTCCATTTGAAAAACACTACTAGTAGTGATTGTCACTGCTTACTAACGGCTGCCGTACGGACGTAAGCCCAAGTAGATGAGTCATTTTATGTCATAAACAAGACATTTTATGCATTATGTCACATTTTATGAATTTTCATGCCTATTCGGACCCTTTAACTATATGGACCTAGAATAGAACATTGTGAAATAACAGATAAAACAAACAGGGAGCATGTTGTAATGCATTACTTTTAAAAATAACTTTCCCCAAAGCTGCTGATTAATAGTTAGCTTTTATAAAATAAAGTAGCTCTCTGATTACTTTTATCAAGACCTAATAAAAATCTGTAGGCCACTCACAGTTTATGGAAGTGTGTGCGTGTGTTTATGTGTGCTTGTCTTATCTTGCCCTGCCTCGGGCTGTTACTCTTAAGCATATCCTGGTTTACTGGTCATTAGATGATTTTGTGGCTGTGCCAGTGTGCGAGAGAGGAGCAGAGAGGCCACCATAACCCCTCCGGCTGCTTGCTTAATGAACAGGTGTATCCATGTTCTTTCTACTTTAAACCACAGCTGCCATTATGTCCAAAAGAATAGTCTTTTATCCCGTTAACTCACAAAGCTCTGTTTCCTCTTAACTTTAAAACAATGGATCACCCTTATGTTGCGAAATGGCAGGATTTTACATAGGAAACTTCAATAACAGTGTTTGTTTAGGAGAGCCTGTTGTAGAACCATGATTCCTGAGGGTGTTCAAGAGTTAAACAGTAACCTGAATGCAGACCTCACCTGCAGGGGTCACAACTACGTTAGTCTGGGTAGATGCCGTATTTAATTTGATGCACATGAAAATATTGCACTAATACAAAGATGACCCCACTAATAGACCAATCATTTTGATTACTTTCCTGGAAGAGAATAAAATATGAGTTTACTCTGAATAATATCAACTTGTGCTAAATTACCACCTACACTACCTTTCAAAAATTTGGGGTCTGTAGCCTAAATGTTTTTGAAAGCCGTTTCTTATACTCACCAAGTCTGCATTATTTTAATCAAAAATACAGTAAAAAATATATAAATATAGATTTTTTTATATATTATAAAATCTAAAAATCTGTTTTTAAGCATCATTAATCCAATCTTCAGTGTCACATGATCCTTCTTCAGAAATAATTTTAATATGCTGATTTGGTGCTCAAGTAACAAGTTGAAATCAGTTGTGCTGCTGCTTAATATTTTTGTGAAATCTGAATAAAAAAAATCAGGATAATTTGATGAGTAGTATGCTCGAAAGAAGAGGATTTCCTTCTTTGATTTAATTTAATTTATTTGAAATAGAAATATTTTTGTACTAATATTTGCTGTAACTTTTAATCAATTGAATGCATCTTTTCTGAATAAAACTATTATTTAAAAAAAAAAAAAAATCTGACTGACCACAAACTTATGAGCAGGAGCGTGCTTGATTAGAACTTAAGTTGTGGTTACTTTCAACTGATATTTTCCACAGTCAAATATATATTTATCTTCTATTAAATGTTGGAAATGAGTCCTATTTCTGTGTTTGACTCCTCAAAGATCTCAACCCTTTCTCGAACAAAGGCAGCTCAACCATAATGAGTCATTTGTGTAATTTCTGTGGATTTCTTCTTTCAGGTAGAGCACAAGTATACACATTTTCCTGCTCACTCAGACTGTCAGGGACAAAACATCCTTTGTTGCCATGACAGCGAGACTGGAAAGGCAATTTTTTTGTGTTCTAATGTGTTGTCTGGGTTTTTTTAGACGTTATTGTGGGTGACCAAATGTTCCTTCTACGTATGTAAATTCAGAAGAGAATGAAAAGGCTTACAGATTTTATGGTGTGCAGCAACAAACTCAAAAATTGTAATAAAACAACTAAAATAAAAAACTTTTAAAATGCATTTGTCAATGATAATGTGTGTCTGTTTCCTTCAGTTTTTCCGTTCAGTCCAGAACACTTGCACAGAACTCCTAAAAGTGATTGAGAAATACCAGCAAAGAATCACACGTGAGTGAGGAACATAATCTTCCACCCTCTTTGTGTGCACAGACACTAAGAGTCTTGTTCAGCTTGTTTTCAAAGCCATTGCATGCAGTGGCATACATTTTCTCAGTATTCATGTGTGCCGTTACTGTTGAGTCAAAAGGCAATTATAAGCTAAACTCTATGAATGTGTTTTTGTGGTTCTAGTAATTGATAGCATTCAACATGTCCAATCAAGCCATATATTGTTACTAATACTGTTAGTTATTGTTGTTGTAATAACCCTGTTTTTGCCCCCTGTGACCTCCTCTCTTTAGATCTCTCACAAGAAGAGAATGAGCTTGGATTGTTCCTGCGCTTCCAGGCAGAGCATGATAAAACAAAAGCAGGCAATATGATGGACGCCACGAGTAAAGCCCTTTGCTGTTCCGCCAAGCAAAGGTAGCCACAAATATGAACAAATTAGGGCTTAAAATAATTAATTGGACTCTGTTTTGTGCTATTTTGGTAGTTCTTATGTTCATTCATCATGATTTAATACAGCAGATAGGGAAAGGGCCATGATGGTTGACTAATGAACTAACAATCCAACAACTTGAGATCAAACAGGGAAATCTGAAACCAGCCTTATTAGACAATCGATCAGGCAACCCACCTATTTGATATTGAAAATGCATAGTTTCTCTTCATTAATTTAGCTGTTTGAAATATGATATGAATGAACACAAATAACATGTATAAATAAATAATAAAGCATCTGCACAACTATATGTAGAATTATTGCGATCTCATTAATGCGTCCTTGCTGAATAAAATTATGTATTTCCCCCACAAAACTGTGTATCATATACATTTATATAGTTCTGTGTTTAAAGAATTCTATTTCAAATACATGATGTTTTAAAACCTCTCTATTCATCAAATAATTCTGAAATGAATCACAGTCTCCACAAAAATAAGAAGGTGCTCAACTTTTTTCAACATTGATAATAATAATAATTAGCCTGACTTCGTCATACTCATATTCTTGTCAGAATGTGAGTCTGAAACTGCTCCATAGGGCTTTGATTATGAAGCGTGTCTTAACCGAACCAGAAAAAAAAAAAAAACTCTGCACTCAATTGGATAGTTGGTAGACCTATAACCAATCAGAGCAACGCAGTAAGTCAACTACTTTGCATAGCACAGTTGTCAACTACAGAACTTACTTATTTTAGAAGTTAAATAACGAGTGTTGCTTCTTTTACTTGGTCCTCCATGAGTGCGACCAAAGGAGAAACCACAACGACCACAGGCTTTTCATTATGTCCCATCTTCTTAGCGACCATCGGAGCCAGCTGATAAGTTACACTTTTGCCGAATCATGTAGATGTAAATTTATTTTACAACAGACGCGACGGCTGAATCTATTACATCTCAATTCTCCAACTGCAGTCATCTTTGAGGGAAACCAGTAAAGCGCTCTTTGATAACGTGATGATTACGTCCCTGCAGATCATCTGTCCATCATCGTATAAAGCCCGCCCTGGCAATTTGATTGGCCCGATAATGTTTTGACTGATCATAATTACTCCTCAATGGATCGAGTCCAGACCGAACTTCCCGACCAAAATATGTTGTGGGCGGGGTTCGGGCTGGCATCCAGGCTAAATAATAATAACAATGGGAAATATTTTTTGAGCACCAAATCAGCACATTATAATTATTTCTGAAGGATCGTGTGTCTAAAATGTTGCTTATATATTAAAAAAATAGTAAATGGTATTGATCTTGTGAAATATTATTACAATTTAAAATAACAATTTTCTAATTGAATATGTTTTACCGTATGTTTATCAAATAAATACAGCATTGGTGAGTATAAGAATGTGAGTATAATTAATACAAATTTGTGAATTTTGAATATATTGATATATTAAATTGGACATAGAAACTAGTGATACATTTCAGTTTCATTTTTAATTAATTATTTAATTACGTTACTTAGCCAGCCCTGGAAAGAACATTTCTAAATTATACAAACTAAAGACACAAATTAGTAAACCCACAATCTTGGATGTAACTTTTCTCTATCCTTGCATGCTACATCTACTTTACACTCATCTGTGCTCATTGATTAAGCCATTTACCTGTCCTGTTGTCCTCTGTCATGCCCAGGTTGGCTCTGTGTACCCCTCTCCATCGATTTGAACAGGAAGTTGAGACATTCCGGAGGAGAGCCATCGCCGACACCCTGCTGACAGTAAGCCGGATGGAGAAAGCCCGGACTGAGTATCGCGGAGCTCTGCTCTGGATGAAGGATGTCTCACAGGAACTAGACCCAGATACTTACAAACAACTGGAGAAATTTCGCAAGGTCAGACCACGCAAAGCGAGTGTGGGAGGGATTGCATCTATATACTGAATGTGGAGGTTGAAATATTCTGCTATCTGTGTGTGTATTTGTGAACAGGTTCAGGCCCAGGTAAGAGGAACAAAAGTGCATTTCGATAAGCTGAAGAATGATGTTTGTCAGAAAGTGGACATGCTGGGAGCCAGTCGTTGCAACATGCTTTCACATTCGTTATGCACTTACCAGGTAATACTTAATTTCCTTCCACCCAGTTTTTCTAGTTAAACCTGTTTCACTTTTATATTGTAAATTTATTCGTCTTGAATTGTTTTTCTGTAGACAACGCTTCTACACTACTGGGAGAAGACTGCACATGTGATGTCTGGCATCCATGAGGCCTTCAAAGGATATGTACCCTACCAGTTCACGACCCTCAAAGTGGGTGTCCATGCACAAATGTCAGAAAATAAACTGTTGTGATGTGTTTTTAAGCCCTCATGTCTCATCACAGGAACTGAGGGACCCACTGGACCAGATTGCCTCTGCACATCCAGCAGAAGACACCAAAGACGAGGACCAGAAGACATATTCAGACAAGTGAGAACTCCGTTAGACATGGTCTTGTTCCATTTTGAACCGTTTTTGGTCATTAACCAACCATTTTGCTGCTTGTTCTTTATTAGGGCTGTCACTAACGATGATTTTCGTAATAGAGTAATCGTTTTAATACGTTGTGCAGCCTTAGAAGACGGTCTCATAATGCACTTCATGGATTCTCGTCCAATTGAAATGCACCTTTCCATTCATTTGCTGGTTACTCGACAAGGGTAAATTGCAATCAAGGTTTTTTTAACTTAGCTTTTGAGTTTCATTCGAGGAATCATGAGTCCTATTCTTACATTGTGTGCCGTGTACATCACATGGTCAGTGAATCTCACACAGACACATCTAGCAGTCCCAGTTTTCTTTTTCAACAACGAAACATGTCTTCCCCTTGACGGCACCTCGCTTGGCTCTCATTGTCAGATCTCTCATTCACTGTCTTTCCTCATTCTTGCAACCCTCCGTTCCCTCAGATTGGGTCTCTGCAGGCGAGAGGCCTCTTTAAAGGCTCTGATTACTGATCTGTGAGTGGAACTTTGTAATTCTATTAGAAACCCCTGCTGCCTTTGCAAACCGGCAACCCTTCTTAGAGTTCCACTGTCATTTCCTGTTTTGGCAGTAGCAGATGATCTACCATCTGTGTTAGACATGCTGTAGACTAACACCCCTTCCTAGATATATCACCGTGACTCAAGATAATTTGTCAATTTCGATTTAATTGAATGTGTTTTGTAATTCTTATCTGATACTGTGCATGTCATTATGCATCCATTTAGCCATGCATCAGTGTGTCTATCAATTTAATTTGGTGTTTGTATCATGTTTATGTTTCAGTCTTGTTTCGCTTGAAGATGAAGAGCTGGGAGAATCATCTGAAACTGGTATGTTCAGCTTTTAAAGCACATTCTGGGAAAACACTTCTTAGATGTTTACCAGTTTACCTTCTTTTTATCTTTACCAGTTTCTACTCGTGCAGTAGATGGACAGAGTAGAGGGTCTGACGGTTCTTTGTGTGCCAGTCTGGACTCTGGTAAGTTTTGTGTGTGTGTATGTTTGCGGACTAGGCTTTGCACAATAACTCATTTTTAAGAAATAACTATTCATCCAGAAGAGTAGTCAATTATCATACTAAATGGCAAGTGCTATTTTAGTAATTTTGGATAGTAAATTAATTTACTCATTATTTCCTATCCAAGTCTTTAGAGTAGCACGCAAGAATGTAATGGATTGGAAACAGCCTGTGTCTAATATCACCCAGAGTTGTTGTTTGGACTTGCGCAGATATGAATGAATGTTCAGTTATGGCAGATTCTGATTAATATTGGCATATGCCAATATGCGATTTCTAGATACTGGAATACTGTTTTAATCTGCTTAATACATATGGTGATATTCTGATTTATATCGAATTATTCTTGTGGGTGTAAATAGTCCCTTTTTTCCCACATGTATCATACTTACAGTATGTACAGGCCCATATGTGTCCTGTGAAGCTGATGTGTGTGAGAAACGAACGCTTCCATATCTTCATTATCCATTTCATACTCCTTGCTAGGGATGAGGCGATTTGATCAACATTATAGTTATTTTTGCTGGAAATAATGTTGTTACTCTGCTAATTTTAGATAACATTAAAATATTTCACAATTATACAACACTAGCCTAACTAATATAAGCAAAAAGTCAAGGAAGCTTACAGAAAACAGGTAAACAGCCAGTAATAAAGTAAGAACAAAGAAACTAATTGCAAGCAATAGGACAAATAAAAACAAAGATGAAACAAATTAAATAAAAAAGTGCTTTTTTGTTTTTCAGAAGTACAAAATACGACTAAATTGAATGAATCAATCAAATGTAAAATAAAACACTGCCCAGTCTACACTGTTAATTAAATAGACAATGATTCTTATTAAAGCTATAAAAGTTTTTCAGTGAGTGTTTTCACTCTTCTTGTTGTATGATATACGTTAATGACACAAAAGGCAGCAGGTATATTGGGTTACCTCCACATTAAAACCTAATGCACAGATCAAATATTCTGACCCACATCTGATTTCTTTCCCCAACTGTTTAAATTCACTTAAAACATAAACAACTTTTTACATGAATATTTACCAACACAGGCATTTTAACAACTCTGTGACAGGAGGCTTTTTGTGTGTATGCATAGAAAAATGGCTGACAGAACAGCGGGCTTGTACCAAATTGAATATTCTTTTGCATATTATTGATCTTGAATAGTTTAAAATCGCTTTAAAAATTATCAAGAGTTAAAAATCATGACAATTCAACACTGTTTACAATTCAACTAAATATATATATATGAAGAGTTCAGATGCAAAAGCCTCTAAGTGCCATTTGAAATTTTCTTCTAAAATGATGATTTTTATCAAGCTTGTATATTAAAGTTCAGTGATTTCACCTAAATGGCAATGAAGATTACCTATTAATTGTCATTTAAGTGAAATTACTGAACTTAAATATACAAGCTTGATAAAAATGGTCATTTTAGAAGAAAATTTCAAATGGCATTTAGAGGCTTTTGCATCTGAACTCTTCATATATATATATATATATATAAGCATATTCCTCCCTTATTTTCTTTATTGTCCTAACATGACAGTAGTCCTGGCAGTACTTCACATTGAAACCTGTGTGGATAAATTTTGTTACATACCGTGATATACTGTATATTTCAGTTGGTTGGCATTTTATATTATTATATTGTCAGACCACCCAGCCCTAACTGTCGCAATGAAGAAGCAGCAACTGAAGTCATATGATCCATTACTAGTTGGCACTGACTTAAAGCATCAAATAGTGGTAAAACTAATTAACTTTGTGTCTAGCAGCTTTTATTTACAGTATGTCTGTTTGTATCTCTCATGTTCACCTCCACCCCTGTACAGCAGCCTTGAATGAACAGTTAGGCCCCATTGGTGGATCTAGCACAGATGACGACCTTCTGTTAATGACCCCTGACCCTGGCTCAGTCCCTTCTCTTACTCCAACCTTGACCCCGACCCTACAGCCATCTATGTCACCTGCTATTCAGTGGGACATAGGCACCTCATATGAGGAAAAGCAAGATGCGTTACACAGCAGCTTACGACCTGAAATAGGTATAAATGCCTGACTGGGCATCTCTTCAATGCCAAGGACTCCCTTATGGCCTGTTCTAACTCTCTAAAATCAACCTCCTTCGAAAGGGCTTTAACACCCTGATCTATAAGTCTTAGGTTCTTTAAGAAATATTCATAAACTTTTCATGCTTATGGCTCTTTCAGATTCTCTTCTGAAAGGTAAACACTCTTCTGGGGTTTCTTACCCTGTCTCCATTAACACAGCTTTTCTTGTAAAAGCATTTCTAAAAACTGTACTTTCTTCAAGGTGCTTTATTTTTTCATTCTTTTTTTGGTCTTTGTTATTTCAATGCACTCTTAGAGGATTCTAGGATTGCTTTTTCATATTTAACTTAGTTTTAATTTTGTATAAAATATTTCTGTTAATATTTAAGCTCTTATGTTTAAATTTGTTACCATGTTTCTTGAAGCTTTCCTTAAGCTTCTTATCTTTTTTTGCTGCATGATTTTTTTTTCCTCCATATTTTTGTCTTCTCTTCCAGTACAAATATCTAAACACTCTAAAACCAAGATATATTTACTTTTATACTGTGTGTGTGTGTGTGTGTGTGTGTATATATATATATATACACACACACACATACACGTTATGTTTATTTATTTTTTGAAACATTTATCTGAAACAGACTATCTTATGTCCTCAAATTAATGTTTTCTTGATTTAACCCTGTAAAGCCTGACATTTAAAATCATAATCAGAAAAATAAATTTTTGAAATTGAGCAGTTTATGGGTCATATAGTTTAATGGGTCATATAGAGAATATGGAGCTCATATGCATTAAGGAAGAAGAAAAAAACACCTCAGTATAATTCAGAGGACCAAACCTAGCAAAAATATGCAATTTTGTGCAGTTGCTAATATTTATATGGCCAAAAGAAAGATGAAATTCTGAGAGCTTATAATGTAAATTAATGTTAACAGTATCTTATTTAGATATTTATTACATCATAGCAGAATACTTGTATAAAATGCATATTACTTTCATTTGTCACTCTCCCAATAGTGTCTTAGTTTAATTTAAATGCTTTGTTTTATGATGAATGCACTAAAGTTTTTATTGTGGTGCATTTTAATATATATAAAAATGATATAAACATATAATGCAATTCAATGAAAATTGAGAGAAGTACAAATAAACGTGCCTCAAAAGCCTGATTAATCATACATGATAAATTGATACAACATGATTTTTCTAAAAAATGATAATCATGTAAACCTAAGTTGCTTCAATCTAGTTAGTGTTCATCTTGAAATGTTACAAAAAATATAAAAATCATTCTTACATTTACTTTATACAAATCAGTAAAATCAGTTCACACCAAAAAGATTTGCTCTCTCGATTGGCCAAGACACGTTTCTCCTAAGCAAGACAATAAAGGAAAAACTAAACTAAATAAAAAGACGACAGAAGGCATGAAGTAAATAGTGTGGACAACAGGCATTTTAGCAAACTTTTGATCATGTTGATCATTTAGAGGCCCTATTGTGTAGTGTTTGTGTATAACAATACAGTAGGCTTTATAGGGTTAAGAATGTTGAGATATTTGTGCTGGCAAACAAGACAAAAGTGCTGAGAAAGCAATTCCGTTTTTGCAGTGTAAAAGCCTCGTTATTTTCTTTTTATTGGAGTAGGCAGGGATTTTCTGTCTGAGGCTTTCCAGTCCGTCGAAGGAAAAGAAGAGGAGGGAGAGCGAGGGGAACTGGCATTCCTGCAGGATCTGCTGAGTCCTGGGGCTGCAGGTGGCGCTAGTGAGTTCAGTAAAGCGTGGCAGGATGCTTTCGGCAGTTTTGAGGCCCCTCCTGCACCTCTTGCTGCCACCACACTGCAAGCAGAAACGGCGAACACACACGCTGGCTTCCTGCCATCACATCTCCTGGACCATAGCCTCAGCACCACAGGTTTGACAAATCATTTAGTTTGCCCTCTAGTGGCTGGAGGAATGAACGCACATTCTTGTGCTTTTAGTATGCAGTGCTGCCAGTGTAATGTCATGCTGATCACTCATATTTATTCTCTTTCTGTTATTCAGGATGGGCGACTCCACCTATGTTTCAAGCCCCACCCCTCCAACCACCTTCTAGTGGAGGACAGTCTCAGCCCACAGCAAACACTCCAAACTCTTCTGCCAGTGGTGAGAGTTTATGACATGTCAAGAACTATAAATGGACACTGACAATCTCTCTGTAGTGATTCATCCCTCTGTGTCTTTTAGCACCCAAAGGAAGCTCCAGGGACATGTCTGCCTGGTTTAACCTCTTTGCAGATCTTGACCCTCTGTCCAACCCAGACGCTATTGGACGCAGTGATCAGGAGTTTCTCAGTGCCTGAGTAGTGTTGGTGTGAGTGTGTGTGTATATATTTATCAATGACAAACAGGAACTCCTCTATTCATTCACTCCTATATTCTGGAATTCCTCTATTCCAGGTTTTATAGAAAACCTGGAACTCTCTCTATTCATGTTAGTATTGGTGTAGTTATCTAAAACTAGAGGCTAACGTTTTTGTTAATTGAATTGCACATGAAATAAGATATAATTACTAGATGAAAAACATGAAAAAGTCCATTATAGAAAATGTAAAAACTTACTAAAATAAATGAATTTAAGAACTAAAATTAATAAAACTCTCACTGAAATAAAAATAAAGCTAAATAGAAATAAATGAATAAAAAAAATTAAAATGACAAAAGGAACAACAAAATTACAAAAACTTGAAAATAAAAGTACTATATAACTATAATAGTATATGAATAATACTAAAATAACATTGGGTTTGAAAACAATTATGATTATGATAAGTCTCTTAAAATGTCATGTGGTGCAACTATTAAAGAAGTGTGAGCAAACATCTTAATTAAAGTAAAATTTTATTTTTTGCAATTATCATGAATTAATCATTAATTACCGGTAATATCATTATTTGAACTCTTGCCTTGTAATAAAAATGTCAAATATTTTGAGAGACTTATTAACCCTAACACACTGAGGGCCTTCCAGTTTTGTTTTTTTGGCTTTGATTTGACACACATTTTTAAAAATATGTTTTACTTTTGAACATTCTGTTGACTATAAGTAACATTGCAACTACATTTCAACTAACTCTCATTAGAGTATTAGTAGACTGCTTAATATCTGCTGACTCTTCATTGCGATGGTCCTCCTACTGACGTTCTACTACTTTTGCAAGTACGTCAACTTATTCTAAATCTACCAGTCTAATACTCTACTAAAATTATAATTAGAGTTAATAGATATGTTAGTACAGTTTTACTTGTGTTAAAGGGACCATCAACAAAAAATAGTGAAACCATGATTTGTATTTTGAATGTATTTCGAATATTAAATCTATTTATGTGTCAATTCATACGCAGCTCCATGTTTCGGATGTGATCTTGCATTGCAAAGAAAGGGGAGATTGGTCATGTCATAATGCAGTCTCTTACCTCTCTCAGTGAAGGAATGTTATAGAGCTGGATCTCATCCCAAACACTCTTTGTCCCTTAGAATGGTGGAAAGAAGTGCATATCCCAAGCCTTTATTTGGAGCTGGAATACTACCTCTCCTGAAATGATTCAACCTGAGCCAAGGAAGCGTCATGAAATCTGAATCTATATTCCACACTGGAAGATTTCCGAGTTATGGGAATGTCTCTTTCCTCCTTTCTTTCATTGTGTGTGTGTGTGTGTGTGTGTGAATGAATTTACTAATGTACATTAGGACACCGAAGGGTAAAATGAAGACTTCATTGCTATATCACTAAAATGTTGTTACTATATGAAGTGCACATGTTTAAAGGGACAAAAAGGTCAGGATTTGCCCATCTCTTATGTGGAGGGCTGGTTTGTATAGGACCAAAAACCTAAATAAGTGTGTGTATACTACATATCTGTTTGCTTTGTACAATAGAGGAGATTTTAATGTCCAGAAACAGGGTTACAGATTTATAACATCTATTAAAGACTGTATTTTTAATCAAGAAAGATACCCAAAGTTGTTGAAGTTATACATAAATCACTTAAAAAATATTTTTGAAGTCACATTCACTGGATTAGTTTAACCCTAAATGATAAAATAAATTAAATTATTTATTAATACAATTTAAAAAAGTGTTACTGTAAACTACATATGCAAGTGGTGTGCTGTGCCATTAGTTTGGTAATAATGACAACAAGGTCAGATTTCAGTGGAACTAATAATAGGTGAAGCATTATTGTTTTCAATGACAAATGCTGAAACACTCTCTCCCAAATGTTCTTCTCATTTACACAGATGCAAAACACTGGAATGTATTTTTTACATATTTACATAAATACATTTGCATTTTTTTTAAATGTATTTTTAGTTTGTATGTCACATTTAGCACAGAATTACGTAACTATCCTAACATCAGAAAACATTCACATTTCATTTTATCTCAGATTATCATATTTGGGCTCATAGGTCATCATAAGTGAGTTTATCTGAAACTATTACTAGTCTTATTTGCGTTAAAGAAATCAAGTGAATGCTTGCACTAAACTGTCTCCGAGTGCAATCTCGGGTATAGTTCTGGAAAGTATGTTTTATGTTTTAAGTATACACTTGTTTGTTGATCTGAATAGTTTGTGTTGGTGGAGAATCTGAACATTTCTCAAAGGATATCTCTCCTTCTGTTTTGTGAGTGCAGTTGAACATTTTGAAGTGTCACTTTCTGTATATGAGAAATGTGTTTGGAACTATATGTTGAGATATGTTTACTTTGAAAGAAAAAGAATGTACACCATTCACAGCTGCTTTCATCTGTTTATTTTATGCAACTTTGCCTTTTGTTTCAGTTAAAAATAATGTACTTGTACAATTTCATTGATGGAAACTGGAATGTGGGAGATCTTGAGAGCAAATAAATTTGAGTAGAATTGTTTCAGTTTTTTTCTCATTTTTTTATCTTCCATGTTGCCAAAAAAATCTTGTGTGTGTGTCAAAGGTACACAATAAAAAACTTTTTTGTTCAAAATTGACGAAAATTAAAGAATGAGTCAACACATTGATGCTTCTTTCAAAACTTTTTTTTAATGGGAAGCCTATTATAAGTGTTTATATTTTAAAGCTAGGGTTAGGGTTATGGTTTTCGTTTAATTGCCTGTGCAGGTCTCGTCATTTATGTCAGTAGCGGATTTGATTTTATTTCGTGTGGGAGTGGGATTGGTTAGTTGTCTTGCCACAACGAGCAAGTAAGTTTGAAATGGAGCCGAACATATGAGTAACCTCGCAAAAATAGAACAAAACTTATACGAAACTAATTAAAGGGTTAGTTCACCCAAAAATGAAAATTAAGTCATTAATTAATCATGAGAGTTGAAGAGATTTCCACGACGCATCCGCGATAACTGAACAAAGAGCAGAGTAAGATCGCAGTTCTCGCGCATGCGTCGTGGAACTCTCGTCTCAGGCCTACAAGGAAGAAAAGGAATAGTCGAATAAAGTCGTTATTTTTGTTTTTTTTTCCGCACAAAAAGTATTCTCGTCGCTTAATAAACTTATAGTTAAGCAACTGTAGTCACATGGAATGTTTAAACATTTTCTTCAATGACTTTCTGGGCCGTCAAGTTTCGATCCTATAGGGTGCCTATGTGGTTAACGTTAGTGATCCATCTCTCAAATTTAATCGAAAATATCTTCATTTGTGTTCCGAAGATGAACGAAGGTCTTACGGGGTTGGTGCAGCATGGGGGTGAGTAATTAACGTTAATGACTTAATTTTCATTTTTGGCTGAACTAAAACCCTTAACAACATTGGCTTCGGAGATGATGACAACTGTGGTTTTGAACTGTTATAAAAGCGACGGGGAGATGACGTTTTTATTATGAATTCAGTAGGTTAGATATTTTATTAAACAGATAATTTGCCAAATGTAGCTCTATAACAGAGTTCATTGTAAAGCATTATCTATGGTGAAGGGTGTGGATGTTCTTTGCTGGAATTTTTGTTCTTTAAAAGAAAGTAGGCCATATGGGTAGCCAGCCTATAGCCACAGTCAGCTTGAGATCCTGTCCAATAAACTGGTTATATCTCTTAAGCCTTACTGCGAATGTTTTATGAACAGTAGGATAACCAAATTCATCTGCAGGGTCACGCACAACCAAAACAGTGTTGTTCTGCAAAATGCATGCATGCAGGGTTCTTAAAAAAAACAAAACAATAGAGGGCAAAATGTTAGTGTACCTTTAACAAACCAGAGTTACAACGATCTTGAAGTTTATTCACAGAAGAAAAGAATCTGGTAATAACTAAAACAAATGGAATAACAGGCACCTGTCTAATTTACACACTTCCCTATTTCAATTCAGTATTAAGGCAATTACATACATACATTACATTTTGTTCAGGATTGCCTGTCTTTCATCAACTTTTTTTTGGAAGAAAGGAAGCTTTACTGTATGAATAATGGAATATTTCACAGTATAAAGTTGCTACAGTTCAAATCAGTATATTTTCAGATCACTACTAGCTAAAGCCATGCCTTTCTTTGAAATAGTTTGTATCTCTTTTCTCTTGCTGTTTCATGACAAGTCTTTCATATCCAATGTAATCCATTTTCCTTCACTATATTGAAATGACAGTAATGGCACCTTTCAGTTGAACTAATGTTTAAATTTAACAGCAGAACTCATAATCATAATACTGTCCTGTACATTTGATCGACGTCTCCACCTAATGCGTGTCAGACTGTTCATGTACCAACAAAACTTCCTCTCACCAGCTAATCACATTAAGCACATACAGGTTTACGTATATGGGGAAGGGCTCTATACATTTAAGGGGCCGAGACGAATGCAGGGTCAGACGATGATAGAAAAAGGACTGTAAGCAAACAGGGGACAGGTGGTGGGAGTCAGGCACATTTTTTAGTCCTCCTCAAATCTGCTACAACATTTCTGGTTGTTTTTCCAGCACTATTTAAACTGGATGTAAACTATAAGCAAGCAAAACTGTGACCTAAAACCTACATTTCCTCAGTAAATCAAATCACTTACTACATTTACACTACAGGTCAAACGTAATGTTTTTGAAAGACATCTTTCATGCTCACCAAAGCTGCATTTATTTGATAAAAAAAAAACAACAACGTAAAATGGCAATATTGCGAAATATCATTACAACAGTATTCTATATTATTTTAGCCTTTATTTTTTCCTGTGATGGAAAATACTTTTTCTTTTTTTTTTAAACTTTTCCCAAAAATTTGAATGGTAGTGTATTACAATTTCCACAAAACTATTAAGCAGAACTGTTTTCAACATCGATAATAATAAGAATGTTTCTTGAGCACCGAATCAACATTTCTGAACGATCATGTGACACTGAAAACTGGAGCAATGATACTAAAAATTCAGCATTGCCATCACAGTAATAAATTACATTTTAAAATGTATTCAAATACAAAATAGTCAAATAAATGCAGCATAAGAGACCTTTCAAAAACATTAAAAATGATTTCAGACTCTTGTGTAGGTTAAAGGATGCAGCTATACATAAGAAAATTCAAAGGCTTCATGGTAAAATACAATAAATCGTTGAGAAAGTAAAAAGCAGTGCAATGCTAAAAATGCTTCTGTACACCATATTGAAAACCTCCTTTTGATCCTTCATTTGACATATAATACCATTACCCTTAAATAACAACAACTAAAAAAAACTCTTGTTCAAGTTTCAAACTGATATCTCTCGAAGTTGTTCAGAACATGTTCTTAAATAAAATCTTAACAAAGCTCTGACTCTATCAGACAATACGGGAGTGTGGGAAAATGACATCTCTTTTCATCAGCTGAGGTTCCTTCGTTTCCATTTTAACCCTCTGGCTCCTCAAGGTGTCGTGGGAGACATGGTGACTGACGTCCACGGGAAAGGACGGAACCCATGGAGGGGGACAAGCTCCTAACCCCAACCCCACCCAGAGGCACCAAGGAGGGCGAGATACTACGGTATCCCACCCCGCTACGGAAGTTCAGCTCCTGGGTGGGTAGCAAAGGCTTTAAGATGCTCACCAGACAGAAAGCAGATCCGCTTTTGGGAATGAAGTTCACCTTGTTTCTGTCTGGGCAGAGATATTGAGGAATATCTTGGAGAGGCCTTGGCCTGGAACAGAAGACGCAAAAGTAGGTCATGGCTGTTTTGTGGAAATGTATCTTTCATACTGATAAGAAGATAAACATAACTAAACCTCTCACTATGAAAATATTACTACAAAACAACCAAGTCTTGACACTTCACCATGGATGGAATACAAATTGGTGTACCCTTACTTTTTTAAAGTCATAGGGCTGACCTCAATGGCCTGGAACATGATTTTATCCTACATTTAAAGGTGGAGTAAGTGATTTCTGAGAAACGCTGTTGAAAGTGGATCGGACCGAGCACTACAACACACTTTTAGCCAATCAGCAGTAGGGCTGGGTACCGAGTTTGGTACTTTTAACTGAAAAATAAAATAAAAATTTAGGTAATATTATATTGTTAAAACTGGTTACATAAAATTGGTATCATTCAGGAACCAGTATCGAAGTCAAGGTATCGATATCGAACATTTTGTTACGATACCCAGTCCTAATCAGCAGTTGGGGGTGATGGAAGAGGAGAGTGAGCAAGAATTGGATTTGAAAAAAGACTGTAGAAAGCAAGATGGCTGAGAGACATTACAAAAGAGAAAAGATCAGAGGAAAATCACTGAGGGGTTATGATCAGCCAAGAGCTTTAGGACCCGCGATTTTATTAGAAAGGCCTTCCAGCACTGGAAAGACAGAAGCGGGAAGGTTTGAAAATGGACGCAGAGGTTGCGTAATTTTTGCTGCATACGTGAGTAACATTGGTTTAGCCATGTTTCACAGATATGCTGTGGTTGTAATGTTAGCTATAGTAACAGGACAGTTTTGAGAGTCATTTTTTGTCTGGAGCTGGTGTGATGCTGGCGACTAATAACCAACTCTTGTATATACTCTTGTGTACTAAATGTTAATTTTTTGTTCTAACTTGTCATGCATTTTGTTGTTGTTTCTTTGCTTCTGCTATGATAAAGAGACATCCATTCTTGCATTGTGTATTTGTGCATTTTGGGTTGGAGTAATGATGGGAGGGGTGTGTTTGTTTAGTTTGATTTCAAATATAAACAATGTTTCTCAGAAATCGCTTACTGCACCTTTAAAATCATGCAATGAGTTATTTTTTATTATTAACTGATAAAAAAATTAAATGTTCCATAAAATTTAAAAAAAAACAACAACAAAAAAACACAGGAAACAATATGTTTTGAGGCTTTTTAGTAATAAATATAACTACTCCCAATAAATAGTTTCATGTCCGTTTTACACAAGTAATGCTTTGGTAAACCATAATTATGACATAAAACAAATCTTAATTATGACATAAATGATGCAATAAAAAGTCAACTATGAGATAAAAAGTATGTCATAATTAATACTTTTTTGTAAATGTTGACCTTTTGTCATACCTATGACTTATAATTATGATTTACCAAAGCATGATATTTTTTTCACAGGGCTTCCATAATTTTGAGAATCACGATTAAACAAATATTTGTATTTAATTTATGGGAAATTTTGATAGTCTTTAAATTTTGAAAACAAGATAGTCTCTAATAATTGACATCTTAATTTAGGCTAAATCTGCAACCCTGTTACCTAATTTTATCAAATATAATTTATTTCTAATTACTATTTATTTTAATTTAAATATTTTTTTCTAATTTTCTCGAAGAAAAAAAAATCGCACAGATTTTTTAACTGTATTCCTTTTGGTTATTGCAGACATTTAAAATAAGCAAAAAAATATAACAGCTCATAGTATTGTTCTGAAAATAAAGCACAATCCTCAACTGTTCAGTATCTTTCAATACCGACAGACAGACTAAATGTCCACAGAACAGTAACTCACTGGTTTTCTTCAAAAGCTTTAATTTTCTCGCAGCCCTCCGGAGGCTCACGTTTAAACATATAGCTGTTGTTGGGCTTTGGAGATGAAGCATATTTGGGCAGAGGAGACCAAGGTCCCAGGTCTAAGACAGGCAAAAGGAATGTTAATATCAAATAGTTTGATTTGTGTGGTGATGATGATGATGCATGTGCTTCTCACCCCTTTCTTTGCTCTCATTGAGCGTGTCATCGAGTGGGCTGTTTCCGACCGTGTCGTTGAGGATGCTGAGGTACGAGGGTGAGACTGAGTCAGCTCGGCTGCTGCTGTTGCTACGGTTACTGCCTAGCCCACCGTTCGAGGGCGTCTGTGTGTCAATACTGCGTGTGCTGCTGCTGCGCTGGGGGAGGGGAGGGGGCGCGCGGTGCCCATCAGGAACATCCTGTGGCTAAAACACACATTTGCTTAAGTAGGATGTGTAGGACAAAAGCAATTTCTACTAATTGGATTCCACCAAACATATCATTAGTATTGATTCGGCCTTGAAAAGCCATGTTACAGCCCCTAAAGCACAAAATAGGGCTGAATGATATTGGAAAGAATTGACATTGCAATCTTTTTTGGTCTGCTATGTATTGCGATATAAGAAACAACCCATAAGAAAACAATTTTCAACAGATGACTTGAATAGCTACTGTATATTTGGAAAGAATGAACCATTCTAAAGTGAGCAGGGTAATTTTGTTGAGGTTCATCTGCATAGAATTTAAAATAATTAGAAAAAAGTGGAAAAATTACTCTGAAGACTTTTTTTAAAAGCTTCTGTGCAATAAAACTATTTTTTAATAAAGATTTTTGCAGTACATTTGACAAATTTCAGTCTTTCTTCATCAAAATTTCACTTTCAATTCAATCTGTTACTTGTCGTTTCTTTGTGACTGTTTGTAAAATTTACTAGCATTTCTGAGAGAAAATTGTTTCAAAAGTCAATCATACACTTATTACTTTTCATTTAAATTTCCATAGAGCACATTCACAGTTTTTTTTTAACCTATTTTGTAAAATAATTATTAAATACAAAAATAAAAAAATGTATTGTAATAACCATTGTACTGTAAAATAAAAAAACGAGTGATACAAATAATTTACTTTACTGTAATATTTACATATTAATTTCTTCATTTTTCAAATGGCAACCCATCAAGCTTTTATTTTATGTATATCACTTATGATATCAATGTCTCAGAACAGCTTGATTCATAGTGAATTAGCCAAGCTGTTCAGAGAGACTTAAACGCTGTATCCTGAACAACACGTTTAAATGCTGCGCTTTATTCTGAAACCGGTAGTGCATAGATATTTATTTCATTAAATCACAGTTTGCACTATTTGACAATTACACTTATATCACAATATGCAGCTCTACCACAAAAAAATAAGTCAAAACCAACCAATATTATTGAGATGCACTTACTATTATGATCTCATCTCGTTCCACAGTGTCCCGTATGATGATGCGTTCAATCTCCTGGTTGAGCCCCTCTATGCTGTTCCGAAATCTTGGAGGTGTGGACTTAGAGATGGGGATGGGAATCAGGATGGTTTTAGGCATCTGAGACTGAGGGAAAAAAAGAGGAAAAAAGGTACAAGACTCCTTTAGAAATGCGTGTATGGGTCTAAGTACGTCTCAAGTACACAAACATTCCCCTGTAGGGGAAACCAGCCTTCTGTGTAATCCTGTTAGAACGACACCCACACACAGTGAGCCCACACATACACAATCTCTGCAGTCTCTCCACTGCCTAAAATCAAACATTCTGCCAGACTAAGCTCCATCATTATACACAAACCACTGACTACAGAGAACATTACCATTGAGAGCCCATTACTGCTCAGCTAGAGGGTACTTCTTTTGAGTAGTGTGTGATGTAAGCGCTCTTTCCCAATCTTTTCTTCATGCTCTCATGATCTTCTCTGTTCATGGTTTTGGATAGCCAAACTTTCCTTTCCTTTCCTTTCCTTTCCTTTCCTTTCCTTTCCTTTCCTTTCCTTTCCTTTCCTTTCCTTTCCTTTCCTCTCCTTTCCTTTCCTTTCCTTTCCTTTCCTTTTCTTTCCTTTCCTTTCCCATTTCTCAGAAATCAGTATGAGTTTTGTTTTTCAGATGTATTGACACACTCTATCCTGTCTTTAAAACACTAAAGATGTTTAGAGGAATATTCCAGGTTCAGTACAAGTTCAATCAATGGAATTTGTGGCATTAATTTCCAGAACAATCAATTTGCACTTCCTCTTCCTTTTCTTTAAAAAATAAAAAGCCAAAATCTACAATGGAACTAAAGGCAGGCAAGCTGTAAACATTAAAATACTCGCCATTTCAGTAGTTTGGTCTCAAGACATAAACAATATACATGCTCACCTGATTTTTAGTGTGAAATATTGCTCTCTCACCTTTTCTTTCTGAGTTTTTCATCATTGCCATGACAACATACAGTAATGCCTAAAAATATCCACCTCCAAAATGACTTTTACAATTTACAATTTTACAATTACAACAAAACAAATTAATTGAAGGTCACATTAGTGAAATTTTCACCGGCAATTGTCTACTGTGAGTAATTTTCAGACAAAACAATGCTGCAAATTTGCATAAATTCAACCCGCTGCGAAATCTGTGTGGAGAAATGTTTCTTAAGATTTCCATTTCCAGATCCATCGTAAAACTGGAATACCTTTTGGATGCTCCAAAAATGACAACATCCACATATACATTGCAAGTGCCTTAGCCTGAGAAAACCCAGACAACTTCCGGCAAATTTAGATTTGCTTTGAAAGTTAGGCTGCGTCTCATTTCTCTGTCTTACCCCTTACTCTTACCCCTTGCCCTCGGTTTTGCGCGTTCATGTGAGGGGAAGTGGTGTCCCAATTCTCATTTTGATCAAGGGCTAGGGCCAAGGCGTAGGGCTACATAGCCCTTGAAACAAAGTTTGCAGAGGACCACACCACACAGAAAGAGAGGGGTAACAAAAGTGCCGGCATTAAGTTTTTTATTATGGCTAAACATCGAACTGTTAAGCAGTCGCACAAATGTAAGAATTATGACACTCGAGTTTTATGATACTTTTGATAAAATGTTGAATAAAATGTTGTTCAAGCGATTTTAATTGTAATATTTTTGTTTTGAATCGGTAGTAAACCGCTAGCAGCTATGCGCTATTTGTCGAGCTGAGCTATCTGATAATCCTTATAATTTTATGAACTTTGCGCGGCCGTTAAACACAATGAAACATACGTACCATTTGATCCGTAAGCAGTCGTATGCGTCTGAGAAACAATTTTCTTCAGATGGCACCCAAGCGTGCAAAGAGAGAGCCCAGGCAATTAATAATGACGGCATCTTCGTTTGTTTACCGTTAACGTTATGTCAACACTTGTTGATCCTGTTGACAGCTATAGCGGCAAGGGAAGATGACGCAAACGGTAATCGAATGGTGTCTCATTTCTTAGAGGAACGTTCTCACCCCTAACCCCTTTCACTCAGTATCGAGGGGCAAGGGGAAGACGCAGACATAGGGGTAGGGGTAGGGGAAGGGGTAAGACAGAGAAATGAGATTGGCCCTTAGTCTCGCAAAGAGCTCATTTAAGCCAATTTCCAATCCATCAAAATTGCAGCACCAATCAGAAACTTTGGGGCAGGCCTTACACGATGACGACAGCGCTGGGATTTTGAAGCAGATTTTGTAGCCTACATTACAAAGATGGATGCCGCTGTCGAACATCACTCATTCGAATCAGCTATCGTGTCTGTTTTAAGCGATTTGAACAGATCCTTTTTGTTAAAAAAGGCAAGGAACAAAACTCAACCGCTCTGCGTACGTCATCTCCTTCATCGCCCCGGGGTGCGTTTCCCGTACAACGACGTAGTTCACATTTTCACTACCATAGTACGATGCATCGTTGGAAAAATCAACTAGCTAGTCACGACTGTTTCCCGAAACCCACTGTCGCAAAGTATCGTTCAACCACGTTGGTTTCGCACGTGGTGGAGTAATAACTACTTTTAATGAAACTGTTTGAGATCCAATTAACGCTAGATTTGTTTTATATAAATTACAGACATGTCATCTGAGTATTTCTAATTGTTCTGAGTTGTTCTGCTTTATTACCAGACTCAATATTTGGCTCGTTCTTACATAGTAGAGCACGTTCGCACATGCGCACTCTTCAAACACGTTACATCAAATCTTTTGACAAACTAAAAGACGTAAATTCCATTTGTATGTATTCTAAATAAAAGACACCGGTTGTACTGAATGTCAGCTTGCTTATTTTGTTAAGGATTAGGATTTATTACCTCCAAATGTCATGCAATATCGAAACGATGCCTATATCCACAGGTCGAGAACTGTCGTTCAAACCACACAACTTTGCGATGCTGTTTGCGAATGTTTGTTGGAATGATGGTTTCGGGAAACACCGACTCGTTGAACTATGCTGATAACGACGGAACTTGCGACCATAGTTGGCTAACGATGCTTTCGGGAAACGCACCGATTGGTTTTAGGTCTACCCGCGACTTCCGTTGGTGATGCCCCTCTGGAAATGATTTGTCTATGACGCTTTCCCAGACCATAACTCAGTTACAACTGAGAATGGTCTGGTTTTAACCAGGCTATAAGTGCCTCACTGTAACCTCGAAATCATACGTGTGGTAATCAACATTTTCTAGCCACAAATGCCGTTGACTGAGCCTACCTTGAACTAAACCTGGAATATTCCTTCAAGTGAACAAATAAACCCAGTGCCCTCTAGTCAGGGGGCTCATTTGCATGCTAGGTTGCTGTATTCTGCTGAGGTGTCAAGTATAATTACTTAAACAAATGCACAGACATAAAAACAAGGCTGTCCTGATGACGAAAAAACTAAAACAAGCCACGTTCCTTTGGGACAATCCTGTCTCCCAGTCTCCAAGTGGCCAGAGAAGCCTCAAAAATGGGACAAATATGCAGGAAAGTGGGGCACGCTTAAATTCTCTAGATGTTTAACCTACTTCAATTCTTCAGTGTGTGCTAGCTCAGGTTATGGTGGTACTCTTATTGACATCCAAGAGCACCTTGTTATTCACACACAAGCACATATGGTGGCTGCTGGGATGCGATGATGCCCACCTGTGACTGGATGATAGCATGGTTGCCATTAAAGGGGGACTTGCGGTCTTTGTCCCGGCGATGACGGCTGCTGCGTTTGCTACGCTGGAGCTGTTGTCGCAATTTTGCGATCTAAAAGAAGTCAAAATGAGGATGATGAATAGCATAGTAGAGGAAAAACAAATAAAAGAGAAGGTTAAGGCACACTAGATCAGCACATGTTATAATGGCTCTAGATGTCTCACCTCTTTCAGCTGGTCAGTGCTGCCGCAAGAAGCCGATCGCTTGTGAGAGCCTCTCCTCCGCTCATCTACCCAGGCCCTAGGGGTCTGACAAGGAAAAACGAGAGCGAATGAGTGAAGAACAGAGACTGGACTGAACAATTCAAGAATCGACTGGTTCATTCGTGAAACGGCTTACTGGAGGGAAAGATTATACAGTTTGTTCCTCACGGAAAGCTATTGTATGACTTGCTTTTTTTAAAGCTTAACAGCCATAAAGCCATTATAAACTATCATTGTGAATTTTTAATGTTGTTTTTGTAGGGCCTTGTTTACTCCTGGTATTAAGATGTGTTTTGGTCAATCAGGGGTGCGTTTCCCGTACAACGACGTAGTTCGTAGTACGATGCATCGTTGGAGAAATCAACTAGCTAGTCACGACTGTTTCCTGAAACCCATTGTCGCAAAGTATCGTTCAACCACGTTGGTTTCGCACGTGGTGGAATAATTACTTTTAATGAAACGGTTTGAGATCCAATTAACGCTAGATTTTTGTAATATAATTTACAAACATGTCATCTGAGGATTATTTCTAAATGTGCTCAGTTATTTTGGTTTATTACCAGACTCAATATTTGGCTCGTTCTTACATAGTAGAGCACGTTCGCACATGCGCACTCTTCGAACACGTTACTTCAAATCTTTTGACAAACTAAAAGACGTAAATTCCATTTGTATGTATTCTAAATAAAAGGCACCGGTTGTACTGAATGTCAGCTTGCTTATTTTGCTCAAGATAAGGATTTATTACCTCCAAATGTCATGCAATATAGAAAAACGATGCCTCTAACCACAGGTCGAGAGCTGTCGTTCAAAAAAACACAACTTTGCGATGTAGTTTGCAAATGTTTGTTGAAACGATTGTTTCGGGAAACACTGACTCGTTGGACTATGCTGATAACGACGGAACTTGCGACCATAGTTGGCTTACGATGCTTTCGGGAATCACTAGATGAGGGAAACATACAACCATTTACACCTGGTCTCTTTTGTCCACTTTCAACCACTTCTGTCTTGATTTCTTCAAAAGGAGGATCTATGAGTGGGTAAATGTATGGTTTTCTTCAAATCTTTCAGATCTCAAGCGGGCTTCCCATAATGTTTACGAATTAGGTCAGTAGGCGGAGAGTAGGTGGTTTTTTGTGGCAGTTTGAACGCATTCGACCACATGAGCGTTTACATTATGAAAGCAATCCGGTCAAATCCGTTTTCGACTACCTCTGGAAGTGATCAAAAGTGGACAAGCTTAAACGTTTTTAACGCCTGTTTACACCTTTATTTAGCGTTGTCCACTTGTGATCTGATTGACCAAAATGCATCTTAATACCAAGTGTAAACAGGGCCTAACATGAATACTATGAAAAAATCTAGAACTAGTTCTTTTTTTCACTTTTTTCACAACACATGAGCAAGCAGAAAACTATACTAATTATACTATATGTAAACACATATACATAATATAATTTTTAACTGGTATATTACAGTATATGCCTTAAAGGAATAGTTCACTTGAAAATTAAAATTCTGTCATCATTTACTCACACTAGTACTTCAAACCTGTATTCATTTCTTTCTTCTGCTGAACACAAAAGTACATATTTTGAAGAATGTCGTAAACCAAACAATTGATGGACCCCATTGACTTCCATAGTAGGAAAAAAAAAATACTATGGAAGTCAATGGGATACATCAACTGTCTGGTTAGTGGTTACCGACATTCAAAATATCTTTCTTTGTGTTCAGCAGAAGAAAGAAAACAAATTGAAACCATTTTAGGCCGAGTAAATGGAGACAGAATTTTAAGTTATATATAACTAAATTATATTAATCTATATTGTGAATCTACACAATAAAATTTCTATCAAATTAAATTACACTATCTATAAATTATTCATTTTATTTGTTGATTGTAAATTGGCTTCCCAGGTAATTTTAAAACATTTGTTATAAACAAAATGATCCCTTTTTAATCACATATATGTTGTATGTGAGTGTTTTTAATATATTTGGTTATATAAATATAATTTTCTCTATGGCATAATTTTGTCCATTTAAAGTATGCATGTTATGACTCACCTGAGTGGCCTTGTCCCTCATTTAGAGGGTGTGGTGGGCGGAGCTCCCGTGCCGCTGCCAGTTCCTTGATAGGCCAGAACTTCCAGGTGAGTTCAAGGGAAGAGAATCCCTCAATGTTTCAACTCGAGGAAGGGCTTTCAAAATGATGAGTGACTAATGTAAAAAGAAATGAAAAATAGGATATTTTATAGATAGGCCTAAGGCCTGCATAGACGCTCAAGGTTTTCAAGGTTTCAAGGCATTTTTTTTAAAAATCTTTTAGTTTTGATTCATCCACCGCAAAACTGCTGACCCAGCATGTCCCCTCCTCTCTTGCTGTAAAATAATCATTATCTCTTGGCCTCTATCCATAATCTCTTAATCCATGTGTGGCCTCTGTCCCCCATTTATTTTCTACATTCTCCCCACTCTTATGCACCATCTTTTTTATGTCTGTTCATTGCATGTAAAAACAAACAAAAACACCTCGGAATTACCGAAGTCACTGTAAAATTAAATCCATTATGCCCTGGTTTCCCATTCTGCACATGAAGATGGATTTTTATACATTAATGTAAGAATTTAAACACAACCCACAGTTAGCTGAAGGCTGATTTATTGTAATGGTTGTTGTTTGAAATGTAGTGTTGTTTACCCACATAGTGTCCCCCTTGAAGCCTATTTTCAGCCATGGTGTTTGCCATGGCAACCAATCTAGATAAGGTGTGATGTTAATGCAATGCACTCTGCCAGATTAAATGCATTGATGAAATGAAATCATTAGATAAAATGATAATTCTTCGTTACTAAAATATTATAATAGCCTATAACAATAGCACACAAAATAACGTAAAAATCTGCTGCACCAATTAAACATAATTGTATGCAGAGAGGTCAACATTTTAAAAGCGCAAAATTATAAATATGCATTTTATAATAGCAGAGATTGCTGGAATGATTGCAACAGACGGCCAATCGCATCATCAGTGTGAAATCTGCAGCACCGCACCCCGCGCGCAGGAATAACGAAAACAACACGACGAACCGCATGACAATGCCATATAGATTACACTGCTCGTGCTCACAATATTCATAATCTACGATAATTGCAGGCATTCACTCGATCTGCATGCAAAAACAATATCCATGATATAACAATAGTATTGCAGTGCATTGATAAATAAGCGCATGGTGTTTCATACGGGTACGCACCTTTGACTGATGAAAAAGAGACTGCACACAGCGCGTTCATGGTCCTTTGCCTTAAAAACAAAACACAACGGTGTGGTATGGATCCAACGTTTGTAAGGTCGTTTAAAAACAGGTTGTTTGTTGGTGGTGGAGGGCGGCCGGTGTTGCTGGGTCAGAGAAACAGATGGAGGATGTGCAGAGGAGGCGTTGCTATGGGCGTTGCTGTGCTGCTGGTGGTCGATAGGCGAGAGCTGTGCAGTATTATCGAAGAGAGCGAATGTATAAGTGGGTCCTCAAAAGCTGAAAAATAAAAGACTATTTTTTGAGGATGCAGACATGTATTTTGGGGAGGGGTGGCAAGGGTCTCCCTCAGAGGACAGCTGGCGTTGAGGTGCGCGCTCCCTCAGCCTCAGTGGTTCCGTCCCGTGCGCGCGCACACCAGACGACGTTACTGTTGCTGAGGCGCGTGGTGCTGTTTTTCCTCCATCCTGCTGATGTGCTGGTCCACGGCCAGAGATGGGCGCTATAACGCTATGCAAATATCAAAAGGAACAGGTACAACCATGTTCAAAAGTAACAGGTACAATACACCTTGTAGCCTTTATAGTGTAGGCTATACATCACATTATTATTTATTTATTATTAACCTATATATAATTAATGTAGTTTTTTTTTTTTTTTAATTGATAGCTACCCATCCGTGATGCACATCTACACCATTCCCCACACATTAGGTCAGGAAAAAGGCTACAATAATTCTTTGTAAAAATGTGAAATCATGCACAGATTAGCAAAATAAATGTAAATGTTTATATCTAAATAAATATGTAAACATTGGCCTTTGGTTCCATTGGCCTAATATATATATATATATATATATATATATTAGGGCTGTGCAAAAATTAATTGCGATCAATCGCATCCAAAATAGAAGTCTGTGTTTACATAAAATATTTGTGTGTGCTGTATATAATTATTTTGTATATATAAATACACACACATGCATGTATATATTTAAGAAAATGTGTTAATAATATATAAAATATTTATATAATATAGATTATGTATTTATATATATACAGAATTTAAGTGCAAATAATTATTATGCATGCATAGGTATTTATATATGCAAAATAATTATACACAGCACACATAAATATATTATGTAATCACAGACTTTTGGATGCGATTAATCGCAATAAATTTTTGCACAGCCCTAATATATATATATATATATATATATATGTGTGTGTGTGTGTATGTGAATTATATGGGCCTAAAGAGACCAGAATATATACACACACACACACACACACACACACACACACACACACACACACACACACACACACACACACACACATATATATATATATGTGTATGTATGTGTGTGTGTGTATAAGACATGTGCTTCTTGCCTATTAATATAGTAGATATTTTACAAAATTATTTTAAAATTATAATATTGACGATATATAGCATAATTTATACGATGAGGTTATATATATGTTTGTAAATTGGTTGTCTGGGTAATTTTAAACTGGCAATTTTTTTAAATACAGTTCTGCTTTAATGGCAGTGTGAATTTATTATCAGCCTTGATGTCTGTCATCAGTCATTCCACCAGTCTGCCGCATGAGGGCGCTTCACCTCTATTCTCTTATAAAGCGGCCCCCACATCGAACAATCGGATCCTGGAGACAATCTGAAGACGAGGCGTTTCCAGTCGCTGTCTGGTCTGCTGTGTCTTCCTGCCCGTCTACTGTTGCCGTTCCCCTTGTTTGGACTACGGACGAAAAACGCTAAACGGACAGTTTCCCAGCTCAATGGATCATGGAAACAAAGAAAAATCCTGAAACGAAGATCAAAAGATAACGAACGCGAGGACTATGACGACGAATGGACATTTTAATAGTCGGCAATCACGAAACGGATGTTTTCCTGTCCAGAAACTGTGTTACCATCGAGGAGACTTGCGGTCTCGGGATGTCCCATATAACTGCGCTAAACTCTGATTAGGCAAATGTATGGTGCGCGTGCTTTGGAACAAAGGGAAAACAAAGTTATGGTTTGTTAATTTGGTTTGTTACCATAGGACTCTCAGCATTCAGATTTCACAGCCATTGGATTTGATGCTTCCTGCTGAAGGGGAAAAAAGAAGTGAAGATTTAACGCAAGACCTTTAAGTTTATATCCTATTTTATGCTTCTTTAAAACGATGAACAACTTGCTTTTGATGCTGTATTGAAAAAAAAAAAATGTGTGATGCTGGACTCTCCAAAGCACCAATATTATTGCCTGACTGCACTCTGAAGCCGTGACAGCTATACGAGTAACAGAGAATAAATTACAATATATTGTATTTGAAGAGGAGAAAAGAAAAAAACATGGCAGTTGAAGGCCGAATAACAATTCTTGACGTTGGACTGATCGCAGTAGTGGTTCTTCTGGGTCCTGTGGCTGGTAAGTAATAGTAAACGCATAGTAGCAATAGAAAATATCATAGAATTACAGTAAAATTGCAGTTCCACACCCTAGTTTCTCAAATCCCTCCATATTCTTCAAAGTGAAGGCGTAATTAATTGTACACTGTGTGTGTGTGTGTGTGTGTGTGTGTGTGTGTGTGTGTGTCCTGCCACTTTTGTGGTAAATTCACTGCCACCCACATCCATCAGGAACTCTTCATTTCCTGAGTGTGTGTTTGTGGATAAGTAACAAAGCGAGCCAGTAGAACAACACTTTATGTATCATTGTGTGTATGGATACCTACTGCAAATGTGCCACTGTATCTAGGTGTGCGTTTGTGTCCATTTAAATATTATTTTTATCTTTATGGGTGTGTGTATGTGTGTTCTCTCTGGCACCAGCCCCTGAGCTGCAGTGGAGCTACTGAGCAGCATCACACAGATAAGATAAGAGCTGACCCTGCTCATGGTTCATGAGAATAAAAGCTAAACACTGATTAGCCGTTAAGACAAGCATGAAACTTAATTTCCCATCTTGCGGTTTGGTCATAAGGACACATTATGGCTTGCAGATTGGCCTCCTACAGCTAACCCTGCAGTCTGACCACCATCGAAGATGGAATCAGCGCCAAATATCAGCTCAGACAGATATCAGAGTACAGAACGCTATAGGCTTGCTCACGTCCACTTCAGATCCGAGCCAGCCTCAGATTTGTTGCGAATCAAGTAGAACTTGAATCATTTTAAGTCGGAGTTGGAAAATGTTTTTACAACCAATACGTAGAACAATTTTTAAAGCATTATTTTATTTACACACAATAATATCGAAATTATTATTAGACACCTAAATGAAAGCATAAGCATTATGAATCGGAAACTAAAGCTATTAACAAATTGTAAAATATAATAATACAATATAACAATAAAATATAAATATTAGATCCATCCATTCATTCTCCAAACCACTTTATCCTCTACTACAGGTTCACAGGGATGTGATAGTCTATGTAAGTCTAGCTAAAATACTACTAAAGCTTAAAAAAAAAACTTCAAATGAAATCAAAATAGTAAAAAATAAAAGTAATAAAAAGCACATGACAAATTGACTCAAATTAATCTAATATTAAAATGAAAACTGAACATATAGCCTATTAATGAATAATATAATAGTATAAATAATACTAAATAACACTGTTATGAATATTGTAAGTGTAATAATAATTGAACTTTGTTATTTGACTAGTTGAATAAATTATGCTAACAACACATTCTAACTAACATGCTAACATATTGGTCTGTAATGGGTGTTTCGCACCTAGTTTGCACTTCAAGCACAAGCAGTGTTGTGCTTGTGTGTGTGTGAACACCGCAAATAACCTGAGACTCATCTTCATGGTTTCTCAACCAGAGGCCCGGGGCTCATAGGGGGCCTCAAGAAAAATTATTTAAAAATTAGACAAAATAAGCATAAAAAAATATAAATCAAGATATTATGTTTGTAATGCTTTATTTTTTTGCCGTTTATAACAAAAATACAGCAAAGTATGCAATAAAAAAGAAGGAAAATTCTGATATTTCTTATTTATATATAATTCAGAGCCTCAACAACTGTTTTTTCCTTGAAGAACCACTGACTTGAAACCTTGGAGATATAAGGAAGGAAGTCTACTTTCAAAAGTGTGGTTTCTAAACCTGGAAAAGTGTAATGTAATTTAATAAAATATTAATTCTGTATTTTTTATAATGAATATAAAGTCACATGACGTTTGAATATTGTTGTGGACAGTGGGGGATCTTGGAGTCAAATAGGATGTTTAAGTATTTTAGAATGCACAAATTCATGCAACCCCAATGAAACAAAGTTAGTATGAAAACACCCACTGATTGTTTCCTTTGCATCGGTATTCTAGTCTAGTCTAGTTTCATTTTGAAACTTTCAAAAATTTTCCACCAAACCTATGTGTGTGTTTGTCTGTGTGTGCAGTTTCCTCCCTATAATTCTTCTTTTGCGTGTGACAGTAATTGTATGCGCTTCCTGAAATAGTCATTGCATTCCATAGTGTGGGATTGTCAGGGTTTTTGGTATAACCTTATAACCCCAGCAGGAGAGTAAATGTCATTTTACCATAGAGGAGGTCGTGTATTTGATTCTGTGAGTTGTGACGCATTGAGACAATGTCCTTTCAGTTGTGTAGTTCTGATTTGTTCTGTACTCTCTAGTATGTTGATAAGGGTGGCTTATCTCTGAAAATGCTTTGTTTACATACCAGGGTTTAAAAGAATATTTCACTCCAAAATGAACCATTTGTCATCATTTACTCATTCCCATCTCATTGCAATTTCATATGGTTTTCTTTTTCTGGGAAAGAGGGTGATTTCCAGTTTTGCACAGGAAAGTGGATGATCAGGCAAATCGACTGTATGTTAAGTTGACATAAAAGTGAACCTGGCTTCCTGGTTTAATTCTGTTCCTGGCCTTGGAAGTGGACTCAGATCTCAAATAAAGTGATGAATATGGAATGCTTTGAATGCAAAATATTGGCAAAAGGGGGTTTGATTCTGCTTTAAAGTTCATTTGGAGGTTTAGTGCAAAATCTTGAGTTTTTGGACCAAAATTTTTAGTCCAAAAAAAGAGGCACTGTCGGTTTATATGATGAACAGGCTTTTATTCACTCAATGTGTTACTCAGCTCTTTTGAGCTTCCGCAAGAACCAATGAGATTCATTCTCTCATGTTACGCAGCACGTTTGGGCTTCTGCAAGAACCAATGAGATTCATTTTCATGTTACACAGCACGTTTGAGCTTCTCCAAGAACCAATGAGATTCATTCTCTCGTGTTACGCAGCACGTTTGAGCTTTAGCAAGAGCCAATGAGATTCATTCTCGTGTGTTACGCAGCACGTTTGAGCTTCAGAAAGAACCAATGAGGTTCATTCTCGTGTTACGCAGCACGTTTGAGCTTCAGAAAGAACCA